CTGTTTAATTATCAGGGTTATATCTTCCTCTGAAATGTTGTGCATCTTTTATGCAGGGTGTGGTGGGACACACCTTTTAAACAGTTTCACTTTGGTCTTTTAAGGCTCCAAAAATCTTGGGGATCTGTAAAAGGTTTTAGATATTTTCTTTGGTCAGTGGTGGTTCTTCCCTTTAAAAACTCCCATGGACACAAATTCCACCGTGAATTTTTATCATTGTAGAATCATGAATGACTACGTTGACTTAAGCAAACTAGGGCTGCAAATCTGTAAAGGTTCTTCAGTGACCATTTGGCTGAGTCATCTGCGAGCCTTAAAAGTAAATGTTCTCTTTTTTTCTGGATCTGAGTTACACCGAAGTTTGCTGGGATCTAAAAAATACAAATCTTTAGACTGTTGTATGCTAATGGCTTTGCTTGTTATCTGTTCTTTATAAGTAACAGCGTGACAGACAAATAGATTGATTACTTTTTTTATGCCTACTTCATGTTGTCAGTCAGGTTTGATTTAAGTGATTTCTTGACTCTCATTTGAGTGTTATTTATAAAGCCTGCATGCTCACAAAACAGGCCACAAAATGTACATATGCTGACATCCATGAAAGAGAATGTGATTTATAAAAAACTAACTTGGCGTGAAAAAGGTGCGGTCTCTAACACCAACTCTGACACATTTATACCGGGTACACACTTTTTGGAGACAGGGGAAATTGGCGACACAGATGGTGATGGGGGTGGGGAACTGAAGCCAGATTGCATTATCATTTCTCTCAGACATTTGATTCCACTTCATATGGAACTTTAATCATAGATCAAATTTATTGTATCCAAAATTGCATCTTATTATATATGCTGGCACTGCTGAGCTGACCTGTTACATGAAGAAAAAAGAACACAAACAGCTAACATTCATGTTTTATTGTTTCCTTTCCATCACATCTCCAATAACCAACAGTGTAAATCATACCACAGATCATTGCAATAATGTAACAAGGAGTGAGGATTTTACACCGATTACTATAAACATTTGAATACTGTTGAAACATTGTGTATATATAACAACCATGTCTAATGGTGAACAATGGATACTTTAACTATGCTGAACAGTTTGTAAATGGTTGAATTAAGAAGATCTAACCAAGATTACCAGGACCATTATAATGACTGGCTAATGAGCGGGTTAATCTCCCTAGATCATTGCTCTGGAGTTATATTGTAAGGGGTCCAGTCAGGAGAAAACAATAAGCCAGACCCAAACCATCTCTGTTCATCACTAGTGT